ACCAATGAGGAGGGAGTTACAATAGTCAAGGGGAGATATAACAAGGGAGTGAATAAGTTGCTTTGTGGTTTCAGAGGTTAAGAACGGGCGTATCTTGGAGATGTTGCAGAGGTGAAGTCTACAAGATTTGGACAGTGATTGGATTTGGGGCTGAAAGGACAGATGGGAGTCCAGGATTAGACCTAGTACCCTGGCATGAGGGGAGGAACTGATGGTTGTATTATTGATCTTGATGGAGTAGTCAAAAGAGGGGCACGAGCTGGAAGGAATAGTATGAGCTCCATTTTGGAAAGATTTAGCTTGAGGAAGTGGAGTGACATCCATGCTGATATGTCACTTAGTAGGTTAGTAATGCGAGATTAGACTGAAGGGGTGAGGTGAGGAGTAGAAAGATAGATGTGTGTGTCATCAGCATAGAGATGGTACTTAAAGCATGGGAGTTTATCAAGTGACCAAGGGAGGAGGTGTAGATGGAGAAGAGAAGGTGTCCAAGGACAGAACCTTGAGGGACTACAGAAAGAGGAAGCGGAGAGGAGGAGACAGAGTTATAGATAACACTAAAGGAGCACTACAATAGGTAGGAAAAGAACCAGGAGAGAGAAGAGTTTCGGAAGCCAGTTTCAGTGGAGCGTAGTGAGCGAAAGCCAGACTGTAAAGGGTCAAGAAGGTTGTTGTCGGTGAGGTGGGAGCTCAGGTGATTGTAGACTAAGCGTTCTAAGAGGTTAGAGGTAAACGGTAACAGGGAGATGGGTCTTAAGTGTTTCAGGTTGGTGGGGTCCAGCGAGGGTTTTTTAAATATGGGAGTGATCTATGCATAGGACAGAAGAAGAGGGTGACCGTAGTAGCTGAGAGGGGATCCAGGGGGCACGTGCTAAGACGGGTTTGTGAGAAAACTTTAGTAACACCTTCAGTAGTAGTAAGGTCAAAAGAGGAAAGTGTTGAGGGAGGTTTAGTATAAGGTATGCTAAGTGGGATAGATGTCTGTGTAGCGGAGATGCCCCTGCGTATTGCATTAATCTAGTTTTTGAAATGATTTACAATCTCGGAAGCAGTGAGTGAATTACTGGGTGGAGGTGGAGAAAGTAGAAAGTTAAAAGTAGAGAGATGATGAGGACTGGATGACAAGGTATTAATAAGAGTGATAAAGTAGGCTTGTTTGGCAGCATATAGGGAGGAATTGTATGTTAAGAAAGCAGATTTATATACGGTGAAAGCTTAGTGAGATTTGGTTTTACGCCACAATCACTCCAGTGCATGACTATGTAGCTTAAGATTTCTGGTGTCGTCAGTCTGCCACATTGTAATGGTCGGGGCCTGATACTTCATGTAGTTTGAGGAGCAAGTGAGTCTAGTGTGGATGAAAGTGAACTGTTGTAGACAGCAGTGGCCAGGTCAGGGCAGGACAGGGGAGAGTTTCCTTCATAGAGGCAATCAGTTGCAGAGTGGAAAAGAGAAGGGATTAAGTTGTAAAGGTTTCTGCGGGTAATTGTTTGCTGCTTGGAGGGATAAGTGTTTGAAGACAAGGACACAGTAAAGGTGATGAGATTGTGATCAGAGAGAGGAATGGGGTTTTTTGTAAGGTTGTAGGGAGTGCAAAGATGGGATAAAACAAGGTCTAATGTATTCCCATCAGAATGAGTGAAGGACTGTATACATTGTGCTAAGGCAAAAGATGAGGTTTGGTTGAAGAGTGGGCATGTAGGTGGGTTGTTGACATTAATGGGGATGTTAAAATCTCCAAGAATGATAGTGGGTATTTCAGAGGAGAGAAAACAGGGTAGCCAAGCAGAGAAGTCATCAAGAAAGCGCGACACCAGTCCAGGAAGCCAGTAGATCAACGCAATCCTCAGAGAAATGGGAGAAAACAGCCGAATGCAGTGAGTCTCGAAAAAAGAGAAGGATAGAGAGGGAGGGTTAGGGAGGACTTGAAAGGTGCTCAGTGGGGATAGAAGTAAACCAACTCCACCTCCTTTCTGACCATTGGGTCTGGGCGAGTGGGTCCAGAGTAGGCCTCCATAGGAAAGTGCTGCGGGAGAAGCAGAATCTGATGCTTGAAGCCAGGTTTCTAGAATTGCTAGTAGGTTAAGGGAGTGGGAGACAAAAAGGTCATGGACAGAGGTGAGCTTAGCTGATTTATAGCAGGGTGTTACATATATTTTGTTAGCTTGCCATGTTATGGGCTTACTGGTGACTCTTAGTGCCCAGAATGTGTCACATTTAATTTGAAATGGGTTATTGCCAAGAACTGTCCCATCTTCAAAATTTGTAAGAAATGTAATACATTTTGTACATATTTCCTTTCTATAATTATCGTGGTCAGGATTAAATAACGTATTATTTATTTTTTAGTCATGTAAATGTGAAATACAACACATTAATATTTTATAATTATAGCCAACATATGTAGCTCCAGCCTGATTTTTTCTTGGGTTCTTTTATTTCTAAAAATCCTATTATTTACAGAACTCTGTAGCTCAAGGTGAAATTTACACAAACACGACCATGGGTCAGTGAAGTGACTCCTTCTCATCTCTGCCCCATATTCTGAGGTTTCATTCAAATGGAAGGGGAAGGCTGCTACCCCTGTGGTCTCTCTTTAGATGGCCTGCAGGGTCATGAGGTCTCTCTCATTGTGGTCTCTTTAGACAGCCCACAGGGCCTAGAGGTCACACAGAGGGGTGCATACCAAGGCATTATTACTAATTTCAAGGCTTTGTTTATTTATGTCTGTATGACTGTTAAAGGGACATTAGATGACAAGCAAACTGTAATTAGAAAAACATGTGAGCTGCCATTGCTGACTTCCTTCTAAAAATGCTAATTCCGTAAACATTATTCTGGCCTACTTGTTCTAATTCTTTCTGAATCACTGACCTGGAACAAGAATGCAAAGAAGGAAAGCAGGAGAAATATCAGAACTCCTGATCTGCCTATCCATTCAGGATCAAAGACATAGTATTGAGAGCCATCACCACAGCAGGAAAACCAGCTTTTTTCAGAAATGGCTGCTTCCATGTCTCTCTGGTGACAGGTTTTCCAAAAAGTATATGTAAAGCTAAAAACCTTTTTAGCTTTGAATAGAGCAGGGCAGGATTTTCCTGCCTTCGTGCCTCTTGGGGGGGATTTTCCTTAAGGCTCCATACGTTGTTGTAAACTCCTAGAAGCTATTATAAGTATATTTGTTCTGCTTCTAGAAGCTAGTGTTATCCTATGTGTCCACACACAGTATTTTATTTATTTATTTCAGCTACTCATATAGCGCCATCAATTTACACAGCACTTTACATCTATATTGTACATTCACATCAGTCCCTAACCCTCAAGGGGTGTACAATCTAAGGTCCCTAACTCACATTCATACATACACATACTAGGGACAATTTGGACAGGATCCAATTAACCTACCAGCATGTCTTTGGAGTGTGGGAGGAAACTGGAGTACCCGGAGGAAACCCACACAAGCACAGGGAGAACATGCAAACTCCAGGCAGGTGGTGCCGTGGTTGGGATTTGAACCAGTGACCCTAGTACTGCCAGGCAGAAATGCTAACCATTTAGCCACTGTGCTGCCCATTTTAGGCTATTAGCATTTTTTGAGCTTCAGTGTCTAGAAGCAGGAAAAAAAAATGTTTTTGTAGAGTTTTTTGGAGTGTTTTTCCAGCGGAAAAAAACGCTAACCTCTCCTAACCTCTCCTAAATGCTACTAAAATGCTCCTAATAGATTTTTTTAGCTTTTTTTCTTTTCCTCTACATGTATTGTAAAAACGCTAATGAAACGCTAATGCTCCTAAACACTCCTAAATGCTTCTGATCGCTACTAAAAATCTATTACCTGTGTTTTTTAACCAGTGTTTTTATAAAAACCACTTGTGTGTTTGGAGCCTTACTTCCATTTCCAAATACACAAATGGAAATAAGAGAAAATCTCTCCAAACAAAATGGAATTCCCATCTTAGGAACCATGTCTCCATTGGAAGACTTTCCTTAGCCCTTTGCTGTAGTGACAACTCAGAACAAATAGAAAGGGTTAATCTTCCCAACTGGGACATAGACAGCAATAACAACTTGACAAAGCAACTAACTTTTCCTTACCCTATCTGAAAAACAAATACATACAATTTACTTACACTTTAAAGTGGTGTTAAACCCAAAAGCAAACATTTATTATACTGCAGCTTACCCATTCCTAGATGTGGTGGCTGCATTTGTTTTCTTTTTGAGGCTTTCTTTCCCTTATTCTCATCTGGTGATCTGGCTAGTAAGTCTGTTGGTTTTCAAAAGAACAAGCTTTCTTGCAGATGTAGCAGCTGTTACAGTCATGAGACAAACCATAGACTACTGACAGGGGTGCTTACAATGATCAGCTTTTAGTCCTTTATGTAAAACCTTTATCCCAAAAGGAAAACAACCAGTTGCTGTAACTGCTTATAAAGTATGAGCTGGAGTCCAGCTTCAATTTGTTAGTGTCTAAATCTAAGTCTGCTATTACATCTAATACTCCCCTCCCTCCAGACTGATAATGCTGCTGTCCAAAGGTGCCCTTGTGCTCCTTCATCCAGAGTGTAATAATACAGAAGTGATAGTGGTCAGATCACCAGGTGAGAAAAAAAGCCTAAAAAGAGGAAACAAATGCAGCCATCACATTTAATGATTGGTAAGCTGCAATATATCACATTTGTGGTTTTGGATTTAATACCACTTTAACCACAAGCCTACAGGGCACTTATACCCCCTTCCTGCCCAGGCCAATTTCCAGCTTTCAGCGCTGTTGCACTTTGAATGACAATTGCGCGGTCATGCAACACTGTGCCCATAGGAAATTTTTATTATTTTTTTGTGACAGAGCTTTATTTTGGTGGCATTTAATCACCTCTGTGATTTTTATTTTTTCTTAAACAAACCAAAAACCACTGAAAATTTTGAAAAAAAGAATGTTTTTTCTTAGTTTTTGTTATAACATTTTGTAAATAAGTGATTTTTCTACTTCACTGATGTGCACTAATGAGGCTGCAGCGATGAGCACTGATAGGCTGCACTGATGGACACTGATAGGTGGCACTGATGGGCACTGATGAAGAGGCACTCATATATGGCACTGATAGGTGGCACTGATAGGCAGCACTGACTGGCACTGATAGGCGGCACTGACTGGCACTGTTAGGTGGCACTGATAGGCAGCACTGACAGGCACTGATAGGCGGCACTGATGCACACTGATAGGTGGCACTGACTGGCAGCACTGGTAGGTGGCACTGACTGGCAATGATGGGTGACACTGAAAGGCAGCTCAGATGGGAACTGAAATGTGGCATTGATGTGGCACTGATGGGCACTGGCAGGTGGCATGGATGAGCACTGACAGCTGGCACTGATGGACACTGACAGGTGGCACTACTGAGGCTACACAGATCATCAGGGCACACTGATCATCAGTGCCCTGATGATCAGTGTACATGTCCCCTCTGAGGGATGCCGATTACCAGCTCTCCTCTCCTCTCGAGCTGTCAGTGTGACAGCTCGAGAGGAGAAAAATGCCATAACTGGCATTTCCCTATTTACATGTGATCAGCTGTGATTGGACACAGCTGATCACATGACCGAGCCGACATCTTCGGCTCTTTCCGTTGATTGGTGATCCAGTGTGTCCGAGGGACACAGCGCACCGCCAATCGCGCTCCCAAATCCGCGCAGGCGCGGTTAGAATGGGAGTACGTCATATGACGTCCTCCCAGAACGAGAGAACCACCTTGCATCCGTCATTTTACTATATGGCGGGCGGGATGCGGTTAAAGGCTTCAACGACTATAAACAATCCAATGTAATGTGTTGCAATGTTTTTGGACACTGTATAAATGATACAAAAAATAGTAATAAAAAAATAATTATATACATACTGTATATACATTGCCTTAAAATAGTATTCATACCCCTTGAAATGTTCCACATTTTGTCATGTTACAACATAAACATAAATGTATTTTATTGGGATTTTATGTGATAGACCAACACAAAGTGGCACATTTGTGAGGTGGAAAGAAAATGATAAATGGTTTTCAAATTTTTTTACAAATAAATATCTTAAAAGTGTGGTGTGCATTTGTATCCAGCCCTTCTGAGTCAATACTTTGTAGAATCACCTTTCACTGCAATTACAGATGCAAGTCTTTTTGGGGATGTCTCTACCAGCTTTGCACATCTAGAGAGGGACATTTTTGCCCATTTTTCTTTGCAGAATAGCTCAAGCTCTGTCAGATTGGATGGAGAGTGTCTGTGAACAGCAATTTTCAAGTGTTGCCACAGATTCTCAATTGGATTTAGGTCTGGACTTTGACTGGGCCATTCTAACACATGAACATGCTTTGATCAGTTCAAGTTTGGTCTCATCTGACCAGAGCACCTTCTTCCAAAAGTTTACTGTGTCCCCCACACGGCTTCTTGCAAACTGCAAACGGGACTTCTTATGGCTTTCTTTCAACAATGACTTTCTTCTTGCCACTCTCCCATAAAGGCCAGATTTGTGGAGTGCACGACTAATAGTTGTCCTGTGTACAGATTCTCCCACCTGAGCTGTGGATCTCTGTAGCTCCTCCAGAGTTACCATGGTCCTCTTGGCTGCTTCTCTGATTACTGCTCTCCTTGCTCGGCTTGTCACTTTAGGTGGACGGCCATGTCTTGGTAAGTTTGCATTTGTGCTATACTTTTTAGATTTTCGGATTATGGATTGAACAGTGCTCCAGGAGATGTTCAAAGCTTGGGATATTTTTTTATAACCTAACCCTGCAATAAACTTCTCCACAACTTTATCCCTGACCTGTCTAGTGTGTTCCTTGGCCTTCATGATGCTGTTTGTTTACTAATGTTCCCTAACAAACCTCTAAGGGCTTCACAGAACAGCTGTATTTATACTGATATTAAATTACACACAGGTGGACTCTATATACTAATTAGGTAACTTCTGATGGCAATTGGTTCCACTAGATTTTAGTCAGGGGTATCAGAGTGAAGGGGGCTGAATACAAATGCATGCCACACGTTTCAGATATTTATTTGTAAAAATTTGTGAAAACCATATATCATTTCACTTCTACTTCACAATTATGTGCCACTTTGTGCTGGTTTATCACATACAATCCCAATAAAGTACCGTACATTTACATTTATGAATATTCTTTCAAGGCAATATATATATATATATATATACCGGTACATATTTGTATTTTTTTCATAGGAGGAGCAATCATGTTTGTATTAATAAATACTGTAGCTCCTTTGAAAGCAACTGTATGCCTGGCCTCAGCCAGATTTGTATCTGATAACCCTCCCCATAAGTGTGTCTGGGTAAAAGACTTTATAGCTTTTTCCATGGGTACAAAGTCCGACAATCTTCTGACCCTGTTTGAAATGTTATTTCAGGTTCCTGGAACAGTTATTGCTGCATGTGTTTTCCTGTAATTTATGTCTGCATTAGTACATTCTTAAGTGCTCGTTCCAGTATCTCTTTGATTTATCTCAAACATATTCCCCATCGCACTGTAAGCGATATGTGTTATTATGAAAGCCCCTAATTAAATCAAGACATTTAACCTGCTGAGTTTCTGGCAGATCCTAGTGGATGGACATTTTTCTTTTCCTTTATAACTACCATGTACAAACCAATTTGTTTAGTATTTACAAACCCTTTGATCAAATCTCTAACTCTTGCGTTTATTACTGGATGAGGTTTGGATTTGCCGCTACCATGTATTCGAGATGAATCCCATGGGTACAAGATTCCCAGTACTGGACAATTTTTGTGCAGATTCACCTGACAGAATTTCTTTGAAACCATAATGCACTGTATTGCCTTTGAGATATGGCCAGCAGGCTTAAACAGGGCAATAAATTGGCTTTTGGATAAGTCAGGCCCCCATTATGAAGGTGGGGGTGGGGGGCACAGAACAGCCATAGTGTCAGAAAAGTGGAAGCTGTTGTATAGAGAGCAGCATAGGGAGGGATTATGGTTAGTTAGGAAACTATTTATTTCTGATTACTAGCTCTTTGGGCAATCAGCCCTTTTGTTACCTTTTATTTGTTCTAATTATTGGTGGCTTTTTTGTCTTCCATTCTATTTTGTGGTTTATTTAAGGTCAACCATTACCTTTAGTTGCTGTCCTGTACCAGCAAACTTTTATTTTGATACAGATGGAGCTTTGTTTTTGAAAAAAAAAAGCGTTTTTTGAATTTTTGGGGGTTTCATGTATTTTGGTTTTATGTTGTGCTGATTGGGCTTTTATTCTAGGTTAAACTTTTTGTTGTTGTTGTTTTTGTTTTTAGTTGAAAGTCTTCCTTTCTTTTAGGGGTATTTGGGGACATTTTTCCTTTTGTTTTTATTTTTTTTGTTTTTTTATTCTTGATTTATGCTGATTTTACAGGCCTTTTTACATTTGGGTGCTTAAAGTGAAGCATTCCTTTGTTACTGATCATATGTTATTCAGGATGCCTTTTAAACAGCATGTAGCTGTTTAAAGGAATTAAAATAGGTGCAAGAACAGTATGCACCTAAACCACAACACAGTGGCTAAGATAACACTTCCACCTAGCAGCACTAGGATAGTTAGCTCAAGCCCCAACCATGGCACTACCTGCCTGGAATTTGCATATTCTCCCTGGGATTGTGTGGGTTTCCTCTCAGTACTCTGGTTTCCTCCCATACTCCAAAGACATGCTGGTAGGTTAATTGGCTTCTCAGTAAATTGGCCCTAGTATATATATATGTACAGTATGAATGTGAGTTAGGGACATTAGATTGTAAGCTCCTTGGGGGCAGGGACTAATGCACAATATAGTATACAGTATGTAAAGTGCTGTATAAATTCACTGCACTATATACCGGTAAGAACCTTAATTCATAATAATTATATCACTCACATTGAGATGAGCACAAAGGAAGTCCGATCGGCTGCACTCCAAAAATCCACTTTATTGAACTAAGATAAAACCAATACAGATGGTGGAAATACAGTGAAGGACTGGTAGGTAAACATGTTTCACGCGCTAAAGACAGCGCTTATTCATTACCCCAAAAAAAGAAAGATTAGGGACTCGCTATCCTGGAAAGGAGCTTCCCTTTTGGGAAATACCTGGCCAGGCTATGCTTCACCCTCTGAAACAGACACTGTTGACACCTCCCCTCTATCTCTGCCTACATTGAACTGTGAGTTATTTCCCTAGTGGCGTTCTCCTACCTGGGTGTTTGTAATGTTGGCATTCTGTTTAATACAAGTTCCAACTGCAACTGGATTCTGTATTTACTGCCCGCACCACGCTGCACCTCCCCATAAACTAATCAGAGAACAAAGTCTCCCTGGTATGTAAATATCATGAGCCAACGTTAGTGTTACTCTTTTGTTTTGGCCCTGGCAAAGTGTAAAAGATTTAGCCAGGTCCAGGCTGGGTCTCTTTGCAATTCAGGGACATCAGCTGCATAGACTGAGATCCTATTTCTCCCCCTTTAGTGTTTAGCGCAGAGTAATCACATCATTTCCTGCTAGCAAGTGGGAAGTGTACCTGAGAAGCAGAGGATCTTGGGACCTGTAGTCACATAGGCTAGAGACATTATATACTTCAGCATTGTCTGGAAACAGAAGTACAGTATTCCCCTGCAGCAGCCGTACTGGAGTTTTTGGTGTGGGGACTTGGAGGCTGACAGAGGGGAGCATGTCTCTTTCCCCTTCAGGACCAGGCAAGAGCGCCACCATCCAGTGCAGTAAACCTGCTCAGCCATCCATCATCACCCAGCACCAAGGGGAGACCCTCGTGGCCAGTTCACACCACAAAAACGCATTCCGGAGGCATTCCAGAAGCATTCTGGATATGTTTTTGCTTACAGTTCACACCACACACAGTTCCGGTGCAGTTTTGATGCAGTTTGCTATGTTCCAGTATGGTTCTGTGCAGAAAAAATGCAGCATGTTCTACTTTTTTTTCTGCACCTGGAACTGACTGCACTGGTGTGAACTAGGGCCATTGGAATAAATGGAAACCACTATGCATGCATTTTTGATGCAGAAAAAAAACTGCACTGGACTGTATCTAGTGTGAACTAGCTCTCAATGTTCCATGGACCGCAGGATTATCTGCAAATTGGGTTGGCCTCTGCTGGGCACTTGATCAGTTGTAAGGAGGCAATCCAGTCCCATTCTTTTCTGCTAGAAGCCTTGTAGGTGGGCTAAAGTGTGGCTATTTGATAGAGGGTATCACACTGTGTGTTATTGCAAACAATCAGGGGTGGACTAACCATTTTGGAACTCAGGCACTGCCCGAGGGCCCTGGGTCAGTAGGGGGCCCCATGAGATGCCCCTGGTACCTTTTCATAGGCTCTTTTGGGTGTGGTTTGATTGTGGGAGAGGAC